TGCAGTGAGCCGAGATCGTACCACAGCACTCCCGCCTGGGTAACAGAGTGAGACTCCGTCTAAAAATAACTAAAAAAAAAAAAAAAAAAAAAAAAGACTAAAATGGTGGATTTCATGCGTTATGAATTTTATCTCAAAAAATAAATTAGGATAGCACCCCCGCCTACACAGGCTCTGTCCTGAGCAGCTCTCAGAAGTCTGTAAAACAGGGTTAAAGTGTCCTTGCCCTGCCCCCGGGTTCCCAGTGCTATGGGGACGTCACCGGCTACTGGAGAACAGAGGGATGCTGGCACCCATCCAGGGCTCAGGGCAGGGCAGGAGCTTGGTGGGTGCTACAGACTAGACTGAGAAGGCCCTTCCCCGGCCTTCACAGAGTGCCTTGCCACTGGGGAATTGAGTGAAGGCACAGACAAGGTTGTGAGGTACCCACGCTGCTGTGTAACGTCACCACGCCCCGATGTGGATAACCTGTTTTCTTTGCTCATCTGGGTGGACTGGTGGGGCATTTGGTTCTGGAGGGTAGGGTTCCAGTCTGCATGGTTCCTTGGGGATTCCCGGCCCCAACATGAAGGCAGTGTGACCTGAGCGTCTCCCAGTCCCCAAGGTGCTGACCCACTGCTGCCTTCCCAAGTCCTCCCTGGGCCCTGCTGGGGGAGGCCTGGGAGCTGCCAGCATCTAGCAGGCCCATGTGAATGGCCTGGCTGCAGCACTGCCAGACAGGGCAAAGTTCCTGGCCCGGGGCTGTCTCTGAGTCCTGGAGCTGGCGGGGTAGGGACCAGCTCCTGTGAGCTCCCTCCACCCCCAGATCCACCCTTCAGGTCCAGGGCTATTTGGTGGCAGCTCCTGGTGGGGCAGGGGGATGGGAGGGATGGAAGCCTCCATCCGTGGACCCGGTGCCTAGTCTGCCTGCAGGTCTGGTGATTGTGGCCTGACCTCCTGCCCACCCCTTCTGGGCACCACGGCAATGCCCAGAGCCCCCAAGGGGCTGTGCAGGAGGGCATAAGATGGCACAGGGCTCTGCGTAGCCACTAGGCTGGCAGGATGCATTCTGAGCTGAGGTCCTTTGGAAAGCGCCTGTAGGTTCCTGGCTTCTCCCTGGGGTGCTCCCCACCTGCCTGCTGAGTCTTCAGATGCCTGGGAGAGCAGGTCTCCCTTAGGTCTGCTGGTTCTGATGGTTCCCCTCCTTCTCTCCTGGGAGCTGGGCAGGTGCTCAAAGCGGGCAGTGTAGGCTGCTCAGCGTGCCCAGCTCCCAGGTTGCACCATGTGACCCAGGCCCCCTCCTGCCCTGCCTGGGCTGGTGAGGGGCCGTGGCTGGGTGCCCAGCGGTGCCTGCTAATGGGGAGCCCCCTCCCTGGGGCAGTGCCTGCCTGCCACCCACCTGGGCTGGGCATCCAGTCTGGCCTTGGCTGTTGTCATGGCAGCCAATGCCTGCAGCCGGGAGCTAAACTTCCTACCCTCAAGCCACCGTCACCACAGCTGTGATGAACATGGGGACATACAGGCTGGGTCGGGGAGGTGACCAGGCCTGGTTCTGCCCAGGCCCTGCTGCGGATGGTCACCATGGTCACAGCCCACATGGCCCGCCTGCCATCCCCTCATGCCATGGCCTGGGTTGTCTGAAGTTCCATGTCACGGATGAGGCCTTAGGATCACAGAACTGCCCAGAGCCACACAGATGGGCAGGAGTCGGGAGGCCCCGGCCCTCAGGCTCCCAGCCTGACTAGGGGAATGGGGCTGGCCCAATCTGGTGTTGCCAAGGTGGGGTTCTGTGAGGTGCCATTGTTGCTAGTGCCTGGTTTCAAAAACATTCCAGAAATGCCCTGCTGGCCACCCGCCTGGCTCTGAGGTCCCCATATCTATGGAGAAACAGGGGCTTTAAGAAGCCCTGCGGGGAAGAAGCCCCATCTGCCCAGGTTCCCCTGAGGGTTGTCAGGTGCCTGCTGGGAACCGTCCTCCAAGTGGTGGTCGTCTTGGGGCGCTTGGTGTCCTCACAGCCCCTGTGGGTAGCTGGCACAGTGCCAGTGTTCCAGGGACTCAGGCGAGGCCTCTTGGAAAGGGTAATGTCCCTCTGATCCCAGGAGAACACCAAGGGCAGGTCCACGAAGGACAGCCTTCCAGTGAACCCATCCCACAGATGAGCACACTGAGGCACACAGGACAGCCTTCCAGTGAACCCATCCCACAGATGAGCACACTGAGGCACAGAGGACAGCCTTCCAGTGAACCCATCCCACAGATGAGCACACTGA